TGCGGACACGAATGTCGTACAAAAATCTATCTTCTAAAGATAAACGTTAATTTTTGTTCTTCCGCTACGTTCACAACATTAACACACCCAAATCCTTCCCCTTTAAAAGCCTGGCAGGTGGTTTGCATCAGAAATAGAGCACACAACTCGTTCTTCACGTTGTTTTAAGCCTAAATACACCTCCAGCACTCTGCAAAATTCATTGATGTTCATATTGTTGTTCTCGTTCGCTGGAACTATTTGGTTGAGTGCTCAACAAATAGCTCGTAGTCATCGTATCCTGGGAAACGGTTGTTGCAATGTTCCTAGCACCCCGGAGGCAACGAATACGTTTTAAGGACATCGTGCGTAGCAAGAGCTTTGACTAATTTCTGCTCCATCTTATTTATGTTTTTCTTTCATAATTTTAATTATTTTTATTTCATTAATTTTCTTTATTTTCCGAAACACACCCAACACTTGAGTCTTACCCATTAATATCTTTCGTAAAAAAAAGCTATGATAATTGATAAAAGGTTTAGCATGAGCACATTTTAGGCTAGGTTGGAAGCAACAATGGGATCGGGGGGGGGGGGGGGGGGGGGGGAGGGATGAACAATCATGTAAGTCCAACCTGAGGAGACCAATAGGGATGATCATGTGATTGAGTGAGACTGCGATGGTGGGAGTATGATGGATGATTCACCTTCCTTATGCTTTTGAAGACCCACCTACGTTTGAACTTGAACAAGAAGATAGTAGTCTCGAGTTGTTTTCTAAGAATACAGGCAAAAGTTTCTAACGGTACAAGTTGTAACTGATGAAGTCACTAATCACACGGATGATACACTTCTTGATACTTTTGAAGACCCACCTACGCTTGAATTTGAACAAGAAGATAATAGTCTCGAGTTGTTTATCCAAGAATGCAGGCAAAAGTTTCTAACGGTACAATCTGTAACTGATGAAGTCACAAATCACTGTGATTTTCATATACAAACCCCTCAACCGTTTGATTTACCATTAGTCTCAACACCTGATGAAGGCATGAAGCAAATCAGTCATGATGATGATGCTACTGAGGTAGGTTTAGGTATTGAAGATGAGTTGGGAAAAGATGATTACACGCTCTAATAGAGTGGGGACGAGGTGGATGATGTCCATAATGAAGAAGCCCCTCTCCACAAGCAAGATTACCCTTCTTGTACGCATGAACCAATCCACTCTTACGTGGTTTCAGATTTGGATTTCTGTGATTCACCCTTTGATGATGATATTCCTTTTTATGTGGAGAATGACAAAATCATCCGACAAGACATTGATAAGAATGATGTTAACGAGAGTTGGGATGCTCATATGGGGAGTGATACAGAGTTCAGAGGAGGTGTTTTGAATGTTCATAATGTTTAAGAGGAAGAAGAAGACTCTTCCATGGTGCAGTTAGATTATGGTGTTGCTCCTAATCTTTGATATGAGACATGTTTTGAGCTTCTGGTGATGCCTAGAGTAATCAAAGTTTTGACGCATGTTCTCTATCCATCCGAAGAGGATGTGAGTTTCATCCTTCATTTCTGTGCTAATGAGGGTTATGAAGACCATGTACTGCTTAATTGTACTCGAGAATTTAAAGGTTTGCGCCACTTAATGGCATTTGTGGAGCGAAAGTTAGAAACTTTGGAAATTAGTGCATCAGTACAGTCTTTGCTATTTGAGAGCTTATGATGTAGTTGCGTCGTGCAAACGACATTAAAAATAGCGTTTCTTGGGAGGTAACCCAAGCTCATTTCTGCACTCTTTTGTTTTAGTTTGTTTGTTTTCACAAAACCCCCGAAAAAAATCGGGGTGTTTTTTGTTTTTGTTTTTGTGTGTTTTTTTTCAGCTCAGGGTCTTGCTTTGGGCATCACTTGGATCAGTTTAGTTCTGCACCGACCAGCGCCTTAGGGAAGTTTCTACGACTCTTTTAATAGCCTGTTTGTAAATGTTAACTTGAGTTGAGTTGAGCATGTGTGACTCTTTCCTCTTTACCCCCCCTGTGCATAGTGCATTTTTGGCCATCGTGGGCGATGCCAAAGTTTAAGTGTGGGAGGGTGAATTTGGCATTCGAGCAGCAGTTGTTACATGAGATTATTAGAGTTAGCATGCGCATGTGTTAGTTGTATATTCATAGGAAAGTCATGCCAAAATTTTTGAAATTTTTTCTTTAAACTGTGTCTTTGTAAGCTGGCTAGCATTTTTTACTGTGCGTTTAGAACATCTTCGAAGTGTTTAGGCTTAAATTGCTTGCATTATAATCTAGGCGTTGAGAGGATGAAGGCATTAGTCACCCATGTTAAATATTTCATTAATCATCCATCACACCTGAATAGGTCCTTTAGGAGAAGCCACTTTGAGCCTGACCGTTTATTTCTTAGCCCAATTAATTGAGCTCCATAGCCAAATGGCCTGTTTCCTTACCCGTGAATATTTCTGACAAAGTCTTGGTGTTTAGGGAACTACGGGATTAATTTGCTAAGTTTAGGGAATTTTTGTAGGAGCCATTTTTTGTACTGTTCCTATGCCCCAAATGGGGTAAGAGCAGTCACTTTTTAGAAATTTGATATTTTTCGAGGATTGCATTGTAGGCATGGATTCACTTTGAATAAATGAACTTTAATTGCTAATTTTCCTTGGTGAGGACGAGATTAGAATGAGGTAATATCTAGTAAAAAATTTGAAAATTGAAAAAATTAATTATAGCTAGACATCTTGCCTTGAGAAAAAGAGAATGGAGCCCCGGTCAAAAAGCATAAGCGTTCGCACAATAAGATGAGACTTGGGTATCTTTCGAAAGAAATGACGTTCTCGTTCCAACATGACAAGGAAAGCTGAACTAAATTTAATGAACTTGGAGGCTATTGCAAAATTTAGCTCTAGTCCTTCGCGTACTTCAAGTATACGTCCAATCACAAATGTGCTGCGGGGGTTTAGCTTAGTTGTACACCATGTCTACTCTTTGCATAGGTTTAAATGATAGCTCTTGGTCCTAATTCGTGGCCTACTAAGCTCCTTGTCCTAAGAATAGCCCCGTAATTCCTGAATGCATTAAGTCTTTGTTAGGATGTTCCAAAAACTCTCAAGAAAGAGACTTTTTATTATGTACCATTCACCACCGCCTACACAAGTCCTTCTGATCGGTAGCTAGTTTATTTGTGTAAGTTGTCACTACTTTGAGGATGTTGTGAATAATTTTGTCAAATCTGTTAGCTAGAGCATAAAGATGTAGTTTAGGGAAGAATTTTCTTGGTTTAGTCTGTCTGTTCTGTGAATATCCCTTTAACTACCTATGCATGCTAATTGTTTTGATTCTGTGTACGTGGTGATTATCGTAAGTCCCGTTGTTCAGTTTGCTTGAGGACAAGCAAAGGCTTAAGTGTAGAGGAATCTGATAAATCTGTATTTCGACACGCATTTGATGCGTGCAGGGATGCACTTTTGATGGTTTTCATAGCTTTAAGTTGTTACAAGTCTCAATTTAGCTCAAGTTATGTTTAACAGGCGTTGGTTTGAATTTTATGTCGTTCGGAGTCAAAATCAAGAAATTAGAGTCCGGCACCGGCACTTGAGAAGTATCCGGATTGATTCGAGATGCATTCAAGCTAGATTTGAGATGTTTGGAGCTCACCGGGAGGTTTACGATGAATATTTGATGACAAAAGAGCTCTAGAATTGGCTACGGGATCAAAAGAAGACGAATAAACCTTCTGTCAATCATTCAAGCATATCTTTTTGTAGAAACATCTGAAGGACACGATTCAAGTTCCACATGAAAACTAACTTCAAGGGCTACGAATCATATGAAGACACCATTGCGGGAATCTGAGAGGAAGAAGGTGAAAAGAGACGATGAATTCAGATGATCTCTGCTGCGATTTCAGAATGCGACCTTCCACCATTTTATTCATATATTTTGATTGGATGATTCAAATCAAGTTTTGCAAGTTGTGGTGGATAGACGACTTCATTATTTAAAATCATCATGAAGGAAGTGTCGTCAAATTCGGATGTGAAGAGTGCATGTCGTATGCCCGAAGTTAGGCACGATCGTGCGTGAAGAAGGAACTCGCGAGGAGCCACTGCCAAGGAGGCACGATCGTGCCTAATCAAGGAGGCACGATCTTGCCTAGATACGGAATGCACGTACTCCGGAGGCATGGAGGTCAGGCACGACCATGCGTAGCATCGTGCCTGCCTTCGGAAATCCTATTTCAGCCCAAATCCCTATGTTTTCTATAAATAAGGCATTCATTCTTTTGTTTAAGGGTTACGAACATTACAGAGATGCCTGCGGACGAATTTATCTGCGTTTTTCCATTGTTTTCTTCAAGATCCTGAGATTATTTGTAAATTCATTCTTTTTAATTAATGACAATTAATTCTATTCATCCCAATTCTGTTGGTTCTTCAATTATGAGTTGTGAGTAATTTAATTAGGGATTTGGTGTTGATGAAGGGGTTGATCACGGTGTATGGCTAGATTCTTGATGGATTAATTGCATGAATTTCGTTTAATTTTAGTTTGAATAAATTAACTGATATCTCTTGTAACCTAGAACGGCCGCTAGAATTACAATTGCTTGTAGAATACATTAAGAGAGATCTAATTTATTTTAGGACACATTCACACACACTTAATCGCTCGCTAAGAGATTAGCAGCGATTTAGGATCCTGTCGCATGAGAGATCAGCCTGGTCCCTTAAATTATTGTATTCTACGCCACAAGAGCGGTAAGAACTTAGTAATGATTAGCTAGCCTCAATTAAATTAATTTCATGTAATTAGGACTGATCTGTTAGAAATCTGGTTACCCCGGAATCAATCCTTGTTTCCTTCATCGTTAATTGAGAAGAAAATCAATCTTTTTATTTAATCGTTCATTCGCATTAGTTAATTTTCCAACTCAACCAATCTCGCACAGTCACAATTCTTTTTTTTTTAATTTCTGAATTTAATTAATTCTTATTTCCCTTTTGTCTATCCCTATGGAGACGATACTCGTACTTTCAACCACTTTTTTACAAGCTTTTTAAGTGCGAGAAAGCTCACATCATGTGTCCGTGCATGATGTCTCTAATAATATCCCACTACAGCTATAATAATCAAATAACCCGTTGGTTTGAAATTCTACACCATTATCAGTTCATATTCGTTTGACCTTTTGCTCAAATTGTGTATCAACCATGTTGCAGAATTGAATTAAAAGTTGTGGAACTTCGGATTTATTTTTCATTAAATAAACCCAAACACCTCTAGTAAAATCATCAACAATAGACAAAAATATACCGTGCTCCAGAGATTGAATCGCATCTATATGCTCCCCAAATATCGCAATGTATCAATTCAAAGCACCGAGTTGTCTTAATTGCACTTGTAGGAAACGGTAGTCTGATCTGCTTAGCACAAACACAAGGATCACAAAAATGATTATCTCGTTGGAAACCCTTGAGGGAACTAATGTGATGTAACTTTCCATTGGATGCATGGCCCAAACGTTGATGCCATAAATCGGGACTAATAGAGACGGACATTGCTATCCCTTCAACCCTTGGGGATTCCAGTTAGTAGAGACCATCACAGAATTTAGTCAATTACCCACGCCAATCAATTTTCTCGTGGATAAATCCTGTAAAAAACAGAAGTCTGTGAAAAATGTCAGTGTACAATTTAGATCGCTTGTTAGGTGACTGTCTGAAAGAAGGTTACACTGGAATTTCGGAATGTATAGAACACGCTTAGGAATTTTGACCGACGGTTCTGGTGTGGGATTGATGATATTAAAAAGATTAACATCACTGCAAGTTATATGCTCGGTAGCTTCGGCATCAATTATCCAAGGACGAGCATGTGGCAATCAGGCAATGTATACGCCGTATTTACTTGGGAACCAAAAAGGGAGAAACCATAGCTTCGTGACTCATCTTAACGGTTAGATCATCAACTGCCATAGTTGAGCAAAGAAATATTATAAAGGAGAAAATTTAAAATTTATATTCATGGATTTCGGCTCTGATACCATGATAAAATTAAAGATATATACGTAGTATGAAAGAAGGGAAACTTTTAATACGAAGTATATTATAATATCATGCTACTGTCTTCCAACTGAAGAAGGATGCGCATGCATTTATACTACATTCACGGGAGATGTCCTATGCTTAGAATAGGTAAGAGAAAAATATGAGGTGATTGTCCATGGGCCATGCAAACTATACATGTGTCGTAGGTGCATTATACATTTGGGTAAATAAAACTATTAGCTGGCAAGATATGTATGTATTTTAATAATGTACCCAAATAATATATTGCAATATGGGGCAACCTCTCTCCTTTCATCATCAGGATGGTTCACCTCTTCTGGGACACCCTCTTTCCTCTCATCATCAGGCTGTTTGACCATTGAAATGAATTTCTTGGTGGCAAAAGCCAGCACTTCTTTGTTGGGCTTTTCCACCCCAAAGATGGTTCTTTTCAATTCTGCCTCTGAGAGGACACCCTAGAAAATAAACAAAATAAATTCGGCTGCACAAAAAATCAATAAATACAAAGGACTGATGATATACCTGATACATTACACAGGCACAGATGTATAAGAACGTTTTCAGTCTCCCATTCCAGATTTGTTGGTTCTTGAACTCTTCAAAGAATAGAAGGAGAAATGCTGTTGTGATCACATATGCTAGCCTCCCGATTGCACTGGAAAACTTGTCAGAAAGGGTGCGTTCTGTTAGAACATTATTTATTGTGTCCAAATTATTTATTTAGTCTTTGTATTAGCAGGTTTTTAACTGATGAGAGAGAACTTGGCTTTTTATGTGCTCTAATTAGGCCCACACGCACGCCCCACTTTGTATCATTATTCTACAAGGGTGTTCAGCCATTCCTCTATAAATACAGATAGAGATTGTTCGAACAGTCTAAGTCTCTACACAATTATTCCACTCCTATTATTTTCGTAGAGCACCTAGATATTCTCGATCATCAGTTCATCCGTGTATTGTTCATCATTGTTTCATCATTATGAATATACGGTATTGAATGTTGATGATTTATTCTGTTTCCACTCAAATTCTTCATATTATTGTTTACTAGTTAATCGACTGTTGTTCTGGGATTCACAAACAATTGGTATCAGAGCCTTGGCGAAATTCTGTTTGTTGAAATCCTCTATTTTTTCAGGCAATATAAGGTTTTAAATTGACATCTTGAGGTGACCATCCCAAGAGAATATTGTAGTGGACTACTTTGCCCATATTGACCAATTTTCACCAACCCAAAATCTGAAGCTCATCTACAAAGTAAAACTCAATTTAAGGAATAGTACAATTCATAGCTAGTCACCTTAATGTCTTAATGCAAAAACAGAAATTCATTTTTAATGATTGAACCCAATTGATTAGTTAGTCTAATCCAAAAATTTTATGAGTTTAATGTTTTCTCTTTAGTGGCAGTGTTTCCTTCAATGCAATGTGGAAAATTATTTGCTTAATGAGCCTGGGTTATTGAATCCTAGGAACTGCAGAATAACTTCAATAAAAAGCCTATGGAAAATGTTAACTAATAGAACGAAGATGAGATGGTTTTAGAGGGTAGCACATTTTTCTTATCCCAATATTAAACTATGTATAAGTTCAAAGTCACTTCAAACTGAAAAAGTTTTCTCAATTAGTGATGCTCCAAACGTATTACTCCTTAGCTGAAGTAGTAATACTCCATATGTGTAATTGGAATTTTGAGTTCTTTTTTTATGTAACAAAGTAAAGCTCTTTTTGTCAAGAAAAAAACAAAGTAAAGCCTTTAGTTGATAAAGAGGAACATCAAACCATACCTTCGTTATAGATGGTCTTATCTTCTCAATCAGAACCCAAAAGAGACCATATATCATATTTGTGACAATTTTAGCAAACTCTAAATATAGATGAAAAAAGGATATAATAATTTCTTGCTTTTGCTTGGTGATGCAGATTGATATAATTTATAACTATGGGAAGGAAGACATGGATTAAGGATAATCTTGAATCCCTTCTCAATGAAGTAATTTGAGGTTAGAATCTTTGTTCTAAAAACAGGGCCTAGACCTAGTCGAAAAAAGTAGGTTGATGAGTGCATAGCCTATGCTGCCAAATTGGCCGGCCAGTGAGCTTTGACCCTTTGTTTCCACCACATAAGAAATGATAAAAAGAAATTCATTACCACCAGGAAGAATCCCTGAGTTGGCTGAAAGGATTTTAGAGGGACCTCAATCGAGGTAGCATCCGATGCAACGGGGGCTATTCTGAGATTCTAAAGTGCTCAAGTTGTTCATCGGTGGGTTCGTTGGGAGAAGACATAAGAGACTTGGCGAATTTTTTCTCCAATATTTCATTTTGTCATGTTAAGCTGTCAGCTATGAAGCACGAATACTTCACCAGGGTGCTGTATCGACGTGTCGGAAACGTTTCCGTATACGATACTCTAGGATACTCGTACTGTACATTCCCGGACCGTATCTGCAATTTTTAAAAGTTTCCTTTTTTATAATCATTTTAAAATTTCGGATACTCGTATCCTGACGGATATCCGTATCAACTTTTTTTTTTTAAAAAAACTTCCAAAAAACTTTTTTAAAAAAACACTAAAAATTTACATAATAAAATTCTTAAAAAATGAAAAGCTAAAACTAATTTTTACCTTGCTTTTATGTGGTACCCAACTAATGGGTCTATTCCTAATTCTTCCACCCTCCAATCACTATATCTATATACCTAGAAATTAATAGCTCCAACGGAAATATGTATTATAACTTTTAAATATTGTCTTCTATCTTTATTATTTCTAGAACTTCGGGGGTGTTTGGAACTGATTCTGCTTCTGCTTCTTTTTTAAAGTAGAAGTAGAATCAAAATCAATTTTCAGAAGCTGGTCTCCCCCAGCTTCTCAAAAAAACTGATTCTAGGAGTAAATTAGACAACCAGAATCACTTCTGCACTTTCACCCAAACACTCCAACTTCTGCTTCTGCTCCCTAAACGAGCAGAAGCAGTTTTAAGAATCAGATCCAAACACCCCCTTTGAGTACTTGCATTTTTAATTTCAAAATTATAGTTGTTTGACTTATTTCTCATTTTAAATTAATAACTTATAGCCTATATTTATATTTTGAGGAGCACTAGTGTGTATTTCAGATAAAATATGAACTTATTTCTAAGTATCTTGAAAATGTAAAATGTTTCAATGCCATGAAGGCATGAATGAGTAGACGTCAAAGGATAATATTTTTTTTCAAAACAAAATGTATTTTTAATATTTATAAATACACCCCTGTAACTTTTAGTATTTATAAATACACCCCCATAACTTTTAATATTTATAAATATGACCTTGTATCCGTATCCTACCATTTTTTTGTCGTATCCCCATACCCGTTTCCGCGTTTCCGCGTACCTGTATCCGTGCTACATAGGCGGTCAACGAATAAACCGGCACAGTTGTTAGCTATAATGGCTTGTTCTTTACCTGATTCACAAGCTTGACTTCATTCTCCTCCTTTTATTGTTTCGGCTTTAGCAAACGATTTGATTAATGATAATTAAGCTCATTTCTTTCAAAAATAAATCGTAGATCTGACCTTAGCGAAATCGTATGACTATAGGCAGTGGCGTATCCAGGAATTGATGTGAGTGGGGGCGAGTTCCGACTAATCCTTCCGGCCATAAAATTTTTCTCACCTATCTTTTTGGGATATCCCAAAAACCTGTTTTTCATTTCCCTTTTAGAAAATTGCTGTGTGTCCATTCTTTTACATATTCAACCACAATCATACATTTGCATTTTGAACTCACTTTCTTAAACTTTGATCCAAGTAAAACCGAGAGAAATTTTATCACACACCTCCGTCACAAGCAGCTTGAACACTTTAAGAAAAATAGTACCAGATTCGTTATAAATTAAATAAAAACTAATCGGTCAACTAAAAAATATGAAATAATGCTTAATAGATTTGACACAAAAAATAAATTTTTTGATGTTATTCTAATAAATACGGAGTAAGTAATTTCAATAAGGGACGGTTAGTGTATGTATTTAGAAAATGTAAATTGTGAATGCAGAATTATATTTTAAGTGTTAAGTGTAAAATGTAATGAGGTATATTTTAATTCTAATAATGTAAAGAAGTATAGATTACAACTATAAAAGTATGTAGAAATTACTTCAAATAGGACTAAAACTATGACAAAAACTCAAAATAGGACTTGCTATGTTTTTTTTTCCAAAATAGGACCATAGTGGTCCTATTGGAAACATACTCATTTCTTCCTTCCATTCTTACCCCTCCTTTAAATATTAGTAAAAGATAGCTAAAAGTCATAAATAAATGTTTAATTCATAATAAATTCGAAAAAATTTCAATAATTCGTAGAAAAATAATAAAAAAATTAATAAAATTTTTATAAAATAAAAAATAAGAAAAATTTTTTTTTTTTAATTTTTTTTTAAAACAATTAATAAAAAATAGTAAAACTCCATAAAAAAATTTAAAAAAAATATGGATACGTTTCCCACCGCCTGTACTACCTCCCTGAACCACCACCTCCGATCGGTGTAAAAAATGCCACTTTTTTTTTTAAATTCCACAAAAATGGCATATTTCTCTATGAGAATGCCAACATTTTCATTCTGCCAACTTGAATCCTTTTGACTTTTGCCAAAAATATGGCATTCATAATTTTTTTGGCATTTTTTTTTACCCCGGTGACAGGAGGTGGTGGTACCGCCTCCCTGCACCACCACCTCCGACCGTTAAAAAAAATGTCATATTTCCTACAAACTTCCATTTTTTTTCGGAAAATGCCAAAAATATGGCATATTTCTCTTTGAGAATGCCAACATTTTTTTCCTTCCATCTTAAATCATTCTGAATTATGCCAAAAATATGGAATTCATAATAAATTTGGCATTTTTTCCCCAAATGACTAGAGGTGGTGGTGCTGGGGCGGTATAGGCGGCGGTGACAAAAAAAATATTTTTTTGATTTTTTTTAATTTTTTTTTTATTTTTTTTTTTTATTTTTTTAATTTTTTTTAAAAATTTATTATTATTCAGAATATTTTTATTAATTTTTGGGTATATTTTACAAATTTTTATTATTTTTTATTATTTTATTATGAATTAAAACATTCCAATAGGTATAAGGGTATATTTGTCCAAGACAAACATAATTAGTCCTATGGAAACATAGTTTATTTTTTGGTCCTATTTGTGCAAAGTGAATGACTTTTAGTCCTATTTTGATAATTAACTCAAAAGTATGTGTATATTGAGTCACTTAAATTTGATTAATAGTTAAAAAGGAAAATAAGTAAGATATTTGATAGAAAATTAAAATGGGGAACAAGAAAAAGGATCAAAGATTCGATCATTCAACCCAAGGCACGGATAACAAACGCTCGGAACAACCTTTCCACTGCACTACAACTCGCTTTAGACAAATGGTCTGTAATTACGGTATATATTATATATACTCAGCACAAAAATATATAATAAAATTTTAAATATATATATATATATATATATATATATATATATATGGGGGTTGGGTGGGGGTTGAGTGGGGGCAGCTGCCCCCCTGCCCCCACCCTGGATACGCCACTGACTATAGAGCTTTTGATACTTGAGCGGGAAAACATACTTTTTCCAAATTACTGCAATTATTATTATGTAGGATGATTTTCTAATTTCCTAAAACTACGTATATGTTTTATCTTGGTTTCTACCCCTCATCATGCTCGTATATGGATCGATTGGCTATGGCTCACCAAACGCCTCTATTTCCTCGTCATGTCGTTTTACTTGAACGAAAATTGCAAAAGTATGGTTATGTTTGACACACAAAAGTCTCTAGCTTCTAATTTATCTAGTCTTTAACAAGACCTTAAAAGACTCTAGTTATATATGTTTGACATGATATTTTTTAAGAACTTTTGAAAAATTGAAAGATCTTTTTTGAGATGCTACCGGGTGTAGCATCTGAGAAAAGCTTGTGACTTTAGTATTATTTAATCCTAGCAGCTTGTATACCAAACCGAACTAAATCAAACAGTCAGCTTTTTGTCAAACAGCTATCGCCTTTTCTTTTTAAGATCTTTTTAATCACTAAAAGCTAACAGTTACTAAAAAACTCAAAGTATATTTTCACCAAGTTGAGCCAAATATACCCTATGTCTATTCTCTCTTAAAATTATTCCATTCGGTTAACACACCTCATTCTCATAATCAACCTTTACCAGATCACCAGTTCACCCTTTTATAAAACAAATTACATTTTTGGCTTTTCTCCCTCTTTTATCAGTTCCGGTCATTATTTGCACAACATTTTTTATTTATAATACGTAGTATTATGTGCACATAATGATTTACTAGCTCCTTCCTTCCGTAGAAACAGACCTCCAAAGTTGCAAGAGACATTTACCTTAATACGATCAAAACATGGTTTTTTCCCAAAATAGGAGCACCAAGTTTAAACATCCTTAAATATGAGTTTTTATTAGTGATTGGACCAAAATACCCCCGCAGCCTTAACCACTGCTGCCCCAAGACTGCCAGACCACCGCCTGCCGCCGGAGCGCCGCCGGAAAATCGCAGAAGTTTTTCCCTGGCAGACTGCCAGATTTTTGCCGCCACCACCGGACTGTCCCCGCTATCAATGGGCTGCCTTTGTTTTGCAAGAGAACTAGGGGGGCAATTAATTGGGTTAATTAATTGCCAGAGTTCACCGCCGCCGCCCGAATCCGCCGCCACCCGCTGCCACAGTGCCGCCGCCACCACGGACTACCCCGCCACCGACAAACTGCCTTGGTTGTGCAAGGAAACTAGGGGGCAATTATTTAGATCAATTAATTAATTAAATAGAATTAGGGATAAAAAAGGAAAGATTAGTCCTGTTTTGGAAAAAACATACATGTGGTACTGTTTGAGAAAAACTTCAGTTTTAGTCCTATATTGGACAATTTTCTCTTGGGAAATTTCTCGAAATAGGTCTAAAACAATTTGAAAATTCCAAAATAGGATTGCTATTTTTTTATTCCCAAAATAGGAGTAATTACTGCCAAGTTTGGAAAATACTGCAATGTTTGAAGTCAAAACATGACAGTAGTTAGTTCTATTT